AAATGTTTACTTTTGTTGGTCCCATTAGGAACATACACTATATTGCCAAAAGTATTTGCTCACCCATCCAAATTATTGGAATCAGGTGTTCCAATCACTTCCATGGCCACAGGTGTATAAATTCAAGCACCTAGGCATGCAGACTGTTTTTACAAACATTTGTGAAAGAATGGGTCGCTCTCAGGAGCTCAGTGAATTCCAGCGTGGAACTGTGATAGGATGCCACCTGTGCAACAAATCCAGTCGTGAAATTTCCTCGCTCCTAAATATTCCACAGTCAACTGTCAGCTGTATTATAAGAAAATGGAAGTGTTTGGGAACGACAGCAACTCAGCCACGAAGTGGTAGGCCACGTAAACTGACGGAGCGGGGTCAGCGGATGCTGACGCGCATAGTGCGAAGAGGTCGCCAACTTTCTGCAGAGTCAATCACTACAGACCTCCAAACTTCATGTGGCCTTCAGATTAGCTCAAGAACAGTGCGCAGAGAGCTTCATGGAATGGGTTTCCATGGTCGAGCAGCTGCATCCAAGCCATACATCACCAAGTGCAATGCAAAGCGTCGGATGCGGTGGTGTAAAGCACGCCGCCACTGGACTCTAGAGCAGTGGAGACGCGTTCTCTGGAGTGACGAATCGCGCTTCTCCATCTGGCAATCTGATGGACGGGTCTGGGTTTGGCGGTTGCCAGGAGAACGGTACTTGTCTGACTGCATTGTGCCAAGTGTAAAGTTTGGTGGAGGGGGGATTATGGTGTGGGGTTGTTTTTCAGGAGCTGGGCTTGGCCCCTTAGTTCCAGTGAAAGGAACTCTGAATGCTTCAGCATACCAAGACATTTTGGACAATTCCATGCTCCCAACTTTGTGGGAACAGTTTGGAGCTGGCCCCTTCCTCTTCCAACATGACTGTGCACCAGTGCACAAAGCAAGGTCCATAAAGACATGGATGACAGAGTCTGGTGTGGATGAACTTGACTGGCCTGCACAGAGTCCTGACCTCAACCCGATAGAACACCTTTGGGATGAATTAGAGCGGAGACTGAGAGCCAGGCCTTCTCGTCCAACATCAGTGTGCGACCTCACAAATGCGCTTCTGGAAGAATGGTCAAAAATTCCCATAAACACACTCCTAAACCTTGTGGACAGCCTTCCCAGAAGAGTTGAAGCTGTTCTAGCTGCAAAGGGTGGACCGACGTCATATTGAACCCTATGGATTAGGAACGGGATGTCACTTAAGCTCATATGTGAGTCAAGGCAGGTGAGCAAATACTTTTGGCAATATAGTGTATCATCGAGCTCTAATAAAGTGGGAAAACTCTATAGAATAGATGATTCTGTTATACTTTTCTGTTTCTTTCACTTCTTTATTTTCCGATCATGTTGAAAAATAAACTAACAAACTAATTCAAACTAGTTTGACCAAATGAGACTAACATTGCACCTTAGGGTAAATCACAACTCAACATTGGTAGCATAAATCAAACAGTGACTTTGGGGAAAAACACCAAACATTTGCTATAAAGCAGCGTGGAGGATTTATTCTGAATCTTTAGTGCAGGGAAGTAGGGGTTCTTTAAAAACTAAACATTTTATGGACTCTGATAAAGAGAAATAATCTAATTTTGAACTTTTTGACTGGTATTTCTGGTTCAAACATTTATTTAAATGGATACATTTTTTACCTCTGATTTAAAAAAGCATTTACAATAAAAGACTGCTTTATTTTAAGGCTTTTGCACATCCTGACTAGCAGCTGCTAATGTCAGTGTCTCAAAGCCTCAAAAAGGGGGACAATGATTTTCAAAATATTTTGGTTAAAACCCTACTGATTAACAATGTCCACAAAAGCCAACAAACCCTGAGGCTTTATAGGGATGAAAACCAAGATGTAAACAACTTCATCTAGATAAGTGGAGCCCTCTTTAAGAGAAAGTTTGTTGTTCGTCCTGTCATAGCCCTCTGATGTAGTGTGACGAACCGTGCTGGATCATCCAGATCATCGCAGAATTCAAGGTTACGGACACTCACAGCTACCATCGCTGTCATTACACAAAATAAATTAGAGTATCAGAGTTGAGCGGGAAGATGAACATGGCGGACACACTGAGGTGTTTGCAGTTCAGATGTACTACAGTAAAATCAGCATGATAGACAGGAACAGATGATAAAGGTGAGCAGTGGTCCCCTGATAAACATGACTGTCACTGACATCAGCAGGAAAAAAATATATAACATTTAGAATACAAACAATTCTCTCAGATAAAAACAGTAGCGATTCAACAAAAAAAAATTAACTACAGCGACGATATTCATCATATGAAGACAAATTATAAGGTAGCTTCGATTGTTTCCTGAAACACTGATTTGAGGACGATGGAAGACAGAAACAAAAGAGAACGGACCCGTCCACCCCACCCCTAACATCTGCGGCCTGCTCAGGCAGCACAAGCATGCTGTTCCTCCAAACAAGAGCTGGAATTTGATCGAGAAGGTAGACATTCCTTTTTTTCTTCAACACACATGCAGTAAACAAGCGGGCACCTTAAAAAAAAATCAGCTTTGTCCTAGGTTTTCAATTTATAGTTCATGTTTTGACATAACAATTTAAATCCAATTTTATCTGGTTGAAAGTGCATCTTATACAGTTGGGAAAATGAGTATTGAACACAGCAGCAGCATCATCACAGTGCATATACAGGTGCTGGTCATAAAATTAGAATATCATGAAAAAGTAGATTGATTTCAGTAATTCCATTTAAAAAGTGAAACTTGTATATTATATTCATACATTACATACAAACTCATATATTTCAGATGTTTATTTTGTTTAATTTTGATGATTACAAATGACAACAAATGAAAATCTCAAATTCATCATATCAGAAAATTAGAATATTACTGAAGACCAATAAAAACAAAGGATTTATAGAAATGTTGGCCAACTGAAAAGTATGAATATGAAAAGTATGAGCATGTACAGCACTCAGTATTTAGTTGGGCCTCCTTTGGCCTGTATTACTGCAGCAATGCGGCGTGGCATGGAGTCGATCAGTCTGTGGCACTGCTCAGGTGTTATGATAGCCCAGGTTGCTCTAATAGTGGCTTTTAGCTCTTCTGAATTGTTGGGTCTGGTGTATTGCATCTTCTTCTTCACAATACCCCATAGATTTTCTATGGGGTTAAGGTCAGGAGAGTTTGCTGGCCAATTAAGAACAGGGATACCATGGTCCTTCAACCAGGTACTGGTAGCTTTGGCACTGTGTGCAGGTGCCAAGTCCTGTTGGAAAATGAAATCTGCATCTCCAAAAAGTTGGTCAGCTGCAGGAAGCATGAAGTGCTCTAAAACTTCCTGGTATGTGGCTGCGTTGACCCTGGACCTCAGAAAACACAATGGACCAACACCAGCAGATGACATGGCACCCCAAACCATCACTGACTGTGGAAACTTTACACTGGACTTCAAGCAACGTGGATGAAGTGCCTCTCTTCTTTTCCTCCAGACTCTGGGACCTTGATTTCCAAAGGAAATGCAAAATTTACTTTCATCAGAGAACATGACTTTGGACCACTCACCAGCAGTCCAGTCCTGTTTCTCTTTAGCCCAGGCAAGACGCTTCTGACGCTGTCTGTGGTTCAAGAGTGGCTTGACACAAGGAATGCGACAGCAGAAACCCATGTCTTTCATACGTCTGTGTGTGGTGGTTCTTGAAGCACTCACTCCAGCTGCAGTCCACTCTTTGTGAATCTCCCCCACATTTTTGAATGGGTTTTGTTTCACAATCCTCTCCAGGGTGCGGTTATCTCTCTTGCTTGTACACTTTTTTCGACCACATCTTTTCCTTCCCTTCGCCTCTCTATTAATGTGCTTGGACACTGAGCTCTGTGAACAGCCAGCCTCTTTAGCGATGACCTTTTGTGTCTTGCCCTCCTTGTGCAAGGTGTCGATGGTCGTCTTTTGGACAACTGTCAAGTCAGCAGTCTTCCCCATGATTGTGTAGCCTATAGAACTAGACTGAAAGACCATTTAAAGGCTTTTGCAGGTGGTTTGAGTTAATTAGCTGATTAGAGTGTGGCACCAGGGGCCATCAATTTTGAACCTTTTCACAATATTCTAATTTTCTGATATGATGAATTTGAGATTTTCATGTGTTGTCATTTGTAATCATCAAAATTAAACAAAATAAACATCTGAAATATATGAGTTTGTATGTAATGTATGAATATAATATACAAGTTTCACTTTTTAAATGGAATTACTGAAATCAATCTACTTTTTCATGATATTCTAATTTTATGACCAGCACCTGTACTGTTAATGTGATTACTTACAGGCGATTCCCACCAGAAGTCAGCAACAACGTAAAAGAACATCCAAACATAATCATTTACAAATCATACTTATATCAGTAAGTAGCTAAAATGTTATATGTGTGAATAAATTTTATACTTGAAGTCTAATTAAAAGCCTGTTTTGGTATTTCAACTTCAAGATATGCTTTGTATGGAGTAGTTCTCCTGTAATCAGGAGAACTATTGGTACTTTGGTAATAACAGCTAAAAAAAGGCCTTTAATTAGGACTAAACCAACCAGAATTAGTTTGCACCAATAGCTACAGACCTTCATTTTAAAATCATTACAGATTTCTGTTGTTTTTGTGGGATTTCTGTGCATTTTATGTCTCATTGTGTTCACTAATTTCTCTTACTATTCCTAAAATCCTATTTTTGAGCCTGGCATTTGACACCCTGTGAAGTTGGTTTGAAGCCATTCTTATATCAGCTGTTTCAGTCTGCATTGGTTGATTGGCTCTGATTCTTTAATTTTGTGTTATCTGCAGTCGGACGATACGTATATGGGAAACCAATCTCATCTTATCTACCTTTAAAAAATCCTAAAATCTGTCAATGACATCTGAAAGTGTTAAGATATAAGAAAAATAAAGATCAATGATAGGCCAGAAAACTGCAATCAGTGCACCCTTAATTTTTTTGTTGATTTTGGAGCTGTTTGTTTTGTTGTTTTTTTTATATACAGTTGTTTTCTTGTGTTTTCTAAATTGGCCATTCAAGCTTTGCACACCCAAAATGACCAGAGGACTGCTCAGTCCATAAAATAATGTTATTTATTACTTTTTTTTAAATCTCTGCTGTTTAAAGGTATAGTGGAGGATTTTTGTGAATTTTTGACCTCTTGACTTTGAAAAAAAAAGCACATGCACAACCCTGTACCCGCTCCCGAGTGCGAAACGTGTGTGAGAGCATGCTGGAGCCCATTTCTCCTCATGCACGCTCTTTAAAGGTTCCTGTTTGCATCGCTTATACAAGCTTACTTTCCAAAAGACGATTTGCTATTTTTCCCCTATGTCACCACTACGAGCACGTAGGAAGGCCTTACGTAAACATATCACCAGAATTATTGACAATTGGGAGGATACATTTTTTGATGATCCACCCAGAAAGAGAACAACCTCCACTATACCTTTAACTGTGTATTATCTAGGTCCCGTGCTGGCTCTTTAAAGTGCTTTATAAAATTGTATTAATGGGAATTACTTGTCAGTAACACAATTAAAAGTTCATTTACTGAGAACACTGACAATACTTATTTTCCCTACCATGTATGTTTGATCATATTTATCTAAAAGACTCGTTTAGGTGCCGCTTGGAGAATATGTAAAACACTGATTTGTACGTTCAGTTTTCAGCTAATTCTGGGATCAGCTGTAGCAATCAGCTCTAAAGTTAAGATCAGAAGGATAGGAGATTTTTGAAAAACACATTGCATGTTTTCAAAATCATTCTGACATCATGCATTCCTGAATACTAGAGCGAGTGCATATATTGGATTTTTAATCATGATGGCTTTTCCATCATCATTCGCCACCTGGAGACAATAAACATGATTTAAAATCTCTTTCAAACAAATTAAATTAGGATAACATGTGCAGACCCAGTCAATCAATTCTAGCTGTTTGCTGTCATTAAAACCAGCAATAAGCTTGTATGCCTTCATGTCAGTGCAGCAACAGATGCTACCACGCCACTAAAGAGACAAAACGACAAAAATAAAGAAAAGCAGCACTTTCCATAGAGGAATCTAAGCAATATTCAAAGTTTATGTGGATCTTAAGTCACCGAGATAAGTGTTATGAAGTAAAGGATGTCTGTTGCTTTAAAAGCTGCAGGTACGCTCTTGACATCCTGGAACATGCAAATGATGCACTTGCTTCTCAGTTTAAACAAAGGGATGCAGGAAGCTGGGAAGCAGATAAAGGATTAGCAATGATAATCCTCATATATTAAATCAGACCAGATGGATGGAAGTCAAAGGAAGGGGAGAAGGAATCAACAAATAACCCCAACATGATCCGGCTGTTGCTTGTTCCCTTGGTTCCCAAAGGATATTCGAAGAAATCAGAACGGGTCTAGCCTGTTCCTCCCTTAAAAAGCCTCGTTTCCACTAGGTCTATATCATACATTAAGTTGACAACAGTAAGACAGAAAGTCAGCTGAAATGACATTCACAGTGCTCTAATAAAATAAAACCGAAAATAAATTGCTCTAAAACAAAAACTAAACAAAAACTGATTGTACCCAACTTTCCCTCCCTTTTCTTGTTTCCTCCTGTTGTTTCATGTTTGTTATGCTCTCCACGTTCGGTCGCTTTTTTGAACGACTGCTGTCCGAGGAGGGCCTGCGGGTGCAGACCAGAGCCAGATGATGGCACTGGTGGAGAGCCCTGTTATAGATACTTGTCCTTGGTAACCCCGTTCTGTACGTGCTTTCTGCAAGAAAAAAGAGAAATACAGACAGGAGAGTGGGGAGTAAGAATACTGTGCACGAAAGGTGGGGAGGTGGGAGTTAGCAGATGGGAGACATTTGGTACAAAGGATATCAGACATGTTCAAGGCTGGTCAGATAAGGGTGTAATCACATCTGTATATGCTCTTTGGGCCCCTTCTGAAGATGATTATGTTGTTCTGCACCAGGAAGATCAAAAGCACCACCAGGAAAGACCGAGCAATAAGATTATATCACAATATAACATCTAGGAGTTAGATTTTGTTGGGGCTCAAAACAAAAGGGAGGGATCTGAAGAAGAGACATCAAGGTTTCAAGTCTGCAGAGGTCAAAAGCTACCATGATAGGGATGCATGATGCTGTCAACACTGAGATTAAAGGCAGGTTTCCAGATAAAAACAGATACACTTTGGTTTCAGTCAGCAGTTTGCAGTTTAAAGTGCACTATTGCAAAATGATAACAGTGGCTTGTGCCATACTGCAGCTTTAAAAGAAGCACTAAGTAAAGTGTCATAAAAAACATCCTATAATGTTTGAGGTGTGTGATTAAAGGCCTCGGTTGGTTAAAAACGACAAAGAATGGGGCTTTAATCCAAGCTTGCCAGCAGAAGTCTTAAAGTCATTTGCATATTTTTGATTAGAAAAACAAATCCAAATTAATGCCTTTCTTTGTTTTGACTATTCAACAGCTGGTTTGAGGGCATCAGAGGTTACAGGTTAGTTGCTAACCTACATAACTGGACATTGCATTTTAAGACATAATGTGATATAACAACAGTTTCCCATACGAGGGAAATATTTGCTACTTAAAGGAATACTTATCTCAAAGTAGATACAAACTAGATGTTTTCCTGAACTTTGGCTCAATTCCTTCAGTTTTATTCTTCTTTATTCTAAGCCTTGGACTAGACCGATTTCTCTGTGTTAGTGGATCGTTCCATTGACCCTTGGAGGTTTCAGCACCTAAACCAACAGTTTCAGTCTTACTGTAGAGATGGAAACACAGGACTTTGTTTAGAAGCATGAAAAGATGCATATGGGGGGGATTTCTGTACAAAATGCTGGAGAACATAAAGCATGCCAGCAAATGCAGCTAGTAGGAATCATACAAAAATACAAAACACAAAATTTGGTTTTACTGATCAATCAGTCAATCAAGGTTCTGATGCCTAACATTGTTTGACCTGATTGGACTTTTCTTTGACAGCTTTAGAAAATGTCGGTATGCGTTCCTACCCTCACTTATTGTCATGAAATCTGGGTCATGAATGAATGAATGAGATCCTGGATACAAGCAGCTGCTATGAGCTTTCTCTGAGGCAGCTGAGGTGGCTCAGGCATGTTTCTGTTTTGGATGCTCTCTTGCCGCTCCCTTGGCAGGTTTTCTAGGAACATTCCACAGGGAGGAAGCCCAGGGGACAATGCTGTAGGAAGTATGTCTCTCAGCTTGCCTGAGAAAACCTCTGGCCTCCCTCAGAGGACCTGGAGGAGGTGTCTGGGAAGAGGAAAGTGTCTGGGAGTCTAACGCCACCACGACCAAGCAGAGGGCAATGGTACGAGCTTTAGAAATAAATAATCCAATAAAACAACACCCTGAAAAACTCCCAGCTACCTTAATTTTCAGCAACTATAATATATACACAATTTACAGGTGTAGTGTGATTCCAACTATAAGAGTTCCTTTTTATTTCTTCATTGCAAGAGATCCAATCAGATGGCTGTTTTCATTGACAAGGAGGCTCTTTCAGTTGCACTCTACAGTTCCTTTGGGTTGCAGCCACAGCAGAGATAGCCTCTATTGCCAAAGATGTTAAATTACATGGAGCCCCGCCAGGAAGGTGCGGACAAGATGACGCTGCAGGCCTCAAATGAGAACAGGATGACCAGAACTGCTTTGCATATTCTGACGAGCAATCCAAGGCGAAGCATGTGGTGAACGCTTCACTGATAAACTTCCACTGCTGCCGCCTCGCTGCTCACTGTCAATGTTACTCTCAGCTCTCAGGCTTCAGTATGCCGGGAGTTTTATATCAAGATGAAAAGATGAATTTAAAATAGATATTTCAAACCCCTTTCTAGCAGAATACCCAGTAGATGAAATAAAGATGTGACCTGCTTTTTACAGTTCTTGATGGGTTTTTTTTGTTTTGTGTTTTTTATATGGTTTGAACAAATTAAACAAAACAGGAATCAAGGATAGCAGCTAAAGTTAAACTATCACAGTCAAAAGAAAATACAAAGAATAAAGATGCATCTCACCTCTGAGCTAAGTTATGATGTCCAGCATCATCGTTATCATTATTTTCTGCCTGGGGATCTTTCAGTAGTTCCTCTGCTGCCTTCCTAGCGTCATCGTCCTCGTACTCCCTGACGTCGTTCACCTCCTTTACCTTCAGCAACTTCACCACGAAAATCACAATGAACTGGAAAGAGCAGAGGAGAAAAAGAGTTTCTACGGAGTGTCTGAAGTGGAGGCTTTTAGACGACATGGTCTCTAAGCGTGCTCACCAGAAACCAGTAGATGTTCATGAGCAGCAGGGTGAAGAGCAGAGCATTGAAGAAGAAGTAGAAGGGGATGTTGGGGACAGACTGGATGCTGGATACACACGTCGCATACAGCACTTTTAGAGGGAACCAGTAGAGCCGGAACCAGAACCTGAAAAAAAGAGGTGAGACCAGCTGAACATAATGATGCGGCTCTGAAGGCGCTATATAGTGAAAATCCGGTGACTACGAGATTTAGAAAAGAGGTTAGAGATTTCAGCAGACGTTTACCAAGTGATGCTGAAGCTGGCGGAGCCCATGTTGGACAGCACATCATTGATCAGATGATAACCACCTCCTCTGGACTTCAGGTAGACGTTAAGCTTGGTAAACTCCAGCAGGACATCGTTGATGTCGTGCAGGAATAACACCAGGATGCCTATGTTGTGGTACCTGACAGATGTAGATTTTGTTAAAGAAACGGACTGATGTCATGGCCTCTACTTCTCTCCTGTTTTGTTTTCACACCTGAAGGCGTAGGAGAAGCTAATTAGAGCCAGAGTGATGATGTGATGAACCACCATGACGGCAGAGTCCTTCCTCCATGTGTCCATGTTGACGGTGGCGTAGATGGAATGGCCGTAGAAGCTGCCCTGGATCAGGTAGGCTATGGCGATGTCTGTAGGCACTGTCATACCACTCTTCCAGTCTGAAGAGACAGAGGGGAGGAGTAGATAAGGGAATAATGTTAGATTATAAAGGATGTGTTAAGTAGGGCTGGGTATTTCCTGAATCAATTCGATTTTGATTAATAAAGTTCTAAATCGATTAATTTGAGTTGATCTGTTTTTACAATAATGAAAGTGGTTCAACTGTGTATCAAAATATAGAGAGTTTAAACCTGAGGTTTGAACAAAACTGTCTCATAAGTGCAAAGTTGTTTGTGAAAAGTGAAAATGTGAAGCCTCACTCCAGGAAGCAGACGTGACACAGCCGGCACACAGCAGACATGCATGAGTTGCATTATCTTCCTGCACAAACCATATTTGCAGCGTTGTCTGTAACAACTACAGGGTGTTTGCTGGTCAGCCCCCATTTGTTAATGTCTTTAGTAGAGATGTCCCGATCCAGGTTTTTGCACTTCCGATCCGATACCGATATTGTTTTTGGATTTCCGATCCGATACCGATACTGGCCGATACCAGCCTATCCGAGCATGTATTTAAGTTTAAGTTAAAGTATTTAGCCTTAGTTGTAAGACTCATGTTGAAAAGGGTTTTAGTACTCTTGATAACATCTAGCCAGCTAAATTAGGTGAGATTGAATAAAACACAATGATTGGTAACAACAAACTTACCTGTTTATTAAGAGATAAACACAAACTGGACAAAATTACGAATAGCAATCTGAAATTTCACAGTGAGCAGTAAAACCATAAACAGGTAAAGGTGCAAGTATTACTGTAAGTTTAAAAAAAATGCAAAACAGGGAAACACTGGCGCAAAATAGTGGAATGGATCGTTTCAATCGGCGAAACCGGATTTTTTTTAAAAAACTGGATCGGCAGTCTGGATCGGCATTTTACATGCTTTGCCGATACACATTTTTTTGCCAATATCGGCGTCCCGATCCGATCCACGTATCGGATCGGGACAAGCCTAGTCTTTAGTCAACCTATTGCTATATTTGCAGCTGTCTGGCTTGAAGTGATCTTGAGTGCCTCTTTCCTGCTCATTTGAATGTGAACGTCAGGTGCGTCACTATAAAACTAATCGATCTCATTCCCTAGACATTGATTTTGCAAAAATGTAAAGGAATCGATTTTTTACCCAGCCCCAGTGTTAAGAAATGTCATTTTTTTATTGTCTATAGGATGGTTCAGAAATACAAAAAAAAACTATGGCCAAAAATGGTTACAGGGTTTGTCATAAACAATATCTAAACATTTATTTGGATTATTATAAATAGTCAGTCAACCATGTTATTTTTTTTTTTTACTAAAACATGTTTTCAAGGTGAACAATAAATACGTTGTATGATTTTCTGCCTGCAGGTGGCAGCAACATGACACAACTCAATGCATGGCTCAACAGAGGGCAGACATGACCTATAATAAAGGTATTTGCAGTTTTATGCTTTTCAGGCACATTTGGGTCAGAGAGAAAAAAAGGCGAGAAGTTCTATAAAAAAATATGTCAAAGATGTTGCATAAAATGCAGATAAAAAAAAAACAGCACAATCATTTGGACATTATCTACAGGCTAATACAGAGAAATCTGTTTACAACTAGGAAATAGTGGAATGAAATTAAATCTTTTTAACTTCATGCGGCTGGTAAAAATTCAGTGGTTTTGACTTTTTTTATCATTATCCTATAGGGCAGGATGATTAATCAACTTTTCTGTTTATAAAGATCCTTTTTTTTTTTTTCTTTTTTTTTTACGGACTCTTTTGGCTTCCATAGCTCAGATGGTTCAGTAAATCCCTTTTTCTTCTAAGATGTGTCCTCAATAAATTCTCTAACCTTTTAATATCACCTGCTGCAAACATTTAGTGTGTGCATACTTTCATTGTTTGTTCTGGAATATGTTCATTTTACAAGCATGTTTTATAACAAACATGATTATATTTTGATGCTCTTAAAGTTAAGATCACCTCCTAGAAGGGCTGACTGATATCAAAAATCAAAGCTAGGTTATGAAAGTTTTTTAATGAAAATTAAGGGCAAAAAAAAACTTTAAAAAATGATTAATCGGATATGAGTAAAGATTTATAAACTATAGCGCCCATCTCTACAATCTTGATTCATTATTTTTGTTCAGTCTACAATCAAGCACAGGGTCAGGAATGTGTATTGTCCCCTAAAATGATAAGTAAATAATAAACAAATTAATCAATAATAATATGAATGTGGAAAAAATAAAACCCAAGTTTAAACAGACACCAGAAAATATTTTGAGCAACAGAAGAGCTCTATTTTTAAGAAGCAAAGATATTGCATTTGTGTTACTAAGTAACACCTGAATAGTGTATAAGTTATATGAGAAGGTGATGAAAGGACTAAATAAATCATCTACTTATTAAAATTATTTAAAACTGGAAATAATGAAACAATGATTAAAGAAAAATCTTCATTTAGATCTGGGGGAGAGGACTTATATCACAATGATATAAGGGGAGATAGAATATGAAATTTGGTGGAACAGTGCAGTGAGGATATAACTGGAGAGAAACACAGGGTTAATTGTTCCTGCTCTTCACCCACTAAATATGTTTAATCATAAGGTGAGAAAGCAGAAAGTTTGCAAATAATTTATCCTGTTGGATACTATTTTCTCCTGAAGCTTTTGCTTAAAAATTGCCTTAAATTCATATATGTTAAAGACTGTTATCTTAATTTAGATGTAGAAGCATCTCTAACATATGATCAGTTTGTCACATCTTTATGTTAAGTTGGACCATGGATGAGAGGAAGCAGCATTAGGGAGTCTTTCAGTTGAAAACCAGCCTAAATGCATTCTGAGACTGGCTAGAGTCTAAAAGCAGATTGGATGTTAGACGGAAATTCTCCTCTGATGTCTGAGCGAGGTTTGTCTCCACTGGGATGGGGTTTCAGGCTTCGTGTTTTGTTTATTGATTAGCGCTTCTATCATTAAACATTGAGGAGAGACTCGAGAGATGGATCCAAGCTGAAAAGCAGCCAAGAAGAAGCATGGAGGCACAAAAGCTGCAGCTCTTCCCACCTTTCATTCTGGATACAGAAATAGTGCCCTGCAGAAGTTTTTAAACTGTTTAACTTTTTTCCTTTTTCATCCATCTCAGAAGAGTATGTAACAGAGAAACAAATGGTAATTCACTTGAGTAAAATGCAAGAAAGGTTTATTTTTCCATTGATCATAACTGAATATCTGGATAGTGAGTAAGAACATTTCGTGTTAGTCAGAGCTACATAGCAAAGATGCAAGTCCAGAACTAAATTTACTTTAGAAGGTTAAAAACAAGCTGGCCAAATTCAAATGAGTTCCACACTTTTTTTTTTTTTTTTCTGCAAGTGTCCCAATTCTTTTTGTAATGACGTGCTAGTGTTGATTGGACCATCCCAATAAAATTCACCACTGTTTGAGGTTGTAACGTGTTGAGGTTATAACCTCAAACAGTGTGGGTTCTCAATGCTGTTTCAAAATTAATTCTTATACCATCGGCTGTTGTGAGCCCCCCTCCCTTCCCCCTGGAGTAGTGCTGACACCTCAGTGTCTAATAGAAGAGGCTAAGGGGTCGTAAAAGACATGAGTGGAATATATGTGAAGTCTGGGGCATCTCCATTGTCCATTAGCAGAACACTTATAGATGTATTGACACTGGTTTCTATTAAGGTACAATCATAAAAATCTTCTGTTTTAAATGATGCACTGCATGAAACCTAATGTGTCTAACAGTAAATAGTTTTAAATGAACATATTCTGTTAATAAAGAGTTGACTGAGCCTTACAATGTGTCTGCATGTGTCACTGAGGTTTTGCATCATTACATGCTCAGGTTATCCAGTGCTATCTTTATAGTTATGCTACTATAGGGTTAGACTGTTGGAGGACATGGGGCCCCCTTTTTTCTTTATCAGTTTTTCTTTATCAGTGCCTTTAGATGACATTTGTTGTGAATTGGCGCTATATAAATTAACTAAATTGAATTGAATTGTTTGAGTAAAAGAGAACCTCAACTTATTATTTCCTGTCAATTCCAATTACTGGTACCTTAACTGGATCCCCTCCAGTACATTAATATAAAAACAAAGCACAAAGATGCTGAATAAAGTGACATCATTCCTTACTGTAGAAGACAGAGGGTGGGTCATGGAAGAAGGAGTAGGAGGAGAAGAAGAGCAGGTAGGTGCTGTAGGACCACGACATGGTGTAGAAGACCAGCTTCCACGCACTCTCTGGCATCTTGGCAGCATCTTTGGGCAGCAGCCTGCACCACTGTGCAAGAGGCTGCAAGGACAGAGCAGAGAAAAGAGAGAATTTAGATAATTGACACCCTCTGAGTTGTTGTACCGGCTTCTAAAACCAGAGGAAATCGTAGGAGGCCTTTTAGAAATGGCAGGTTTAATGATTTTATAAATAAAAAGAAATCCTTACAAACAGTCCAATCCAGAGTCTTCTAACTACTTTGTAAACATTAAAATGCTTAATTTTCTTAATACATGCATCTTTTCTTATAAGACAGTTAAAAATGTTTAACATGTTCTTGTGTTTATAAAAATACTTACATTTTTAGAAAACTAAGTGCTTTTCCTCTCATCTAACCTATTCTGTTTTAAATAGATAGGATGAGAAAGTCCATGACATGACTAAGCATTTTGAAATTTATCTATCAACAGCACAGCAGTCTTCAGAGTGGCCTGAAAGCTGAATCAGCACCTCAGAAAATAAAAAAACTATTCATCCATGTCTTCATAAATCTATATTTTACTACTGCGCCACAGCATTAACTCTGGGAAGGTCTGCCGTTTCTTGGCATCTTTTGTTTGAGCTTGGAAAACTGAATTTGACCTTTTTCAATTCAGATGTATCTAGACGTTGAATCGCAGACAACTCAGTTAGAATCCAAAATGGCTGCCACTCATAAATAGACTGAATTAGAGAACAGTTTGTTCTAATGTTTAAAATGTCAAAAGCTTCAATTATGGATTATTTTGCAAATCAATTAATCTGTTAACAATTTTTTCAATTGGTTGCTTAATAATCAAATTACAAACAGAGTTTATTAGATTATTTTTACAGAATCTGGACCAGGTAAAGGTAAATCTTGAGAAGTTTTCAAGCATTTTACCAGAAAAAGAAGGTTTGGGTCCTATATTTATGGGTTTTTTTTTCTGATCCTGAATCACTGCTCTCAGTGGGTTGCTCTGGAACGACTTTAGAGTCATTCCAGTTAAGGATTGTCTGATAAATAAATGTGTTGATGATTATTTCAATAATTGAATGGGCATGATTAATAAGATCAATCATTTCAATCCTGCTAGTTTGTATAAGTAATTGTGGTTACCATGGTCACTAAGCTAACCAAGTTGCTAATAATTTAGGTTTTCCATCTTTCATCATCAGAGGTGACTTAATCTAGCTTCGAAGAGTAAAATTTTCCTTCATCCTGTTTACAGGAAAGCAGAGCGATTTTAGTCTGTGGCTCCATCAAAATCGGGGAAATCAATCAGGACACTTAAACCAAAGTATGTCAGCAGTCGCTATGATAAGTGCTGCCACAATAGTGCTGACAGTAAGAAAGGACGTAGGAAGAGGAAGCAGTATGCCATAAATGGTTCATTTAGCATAGGGACCTACCCATGTTCCTATATAGATTCCCACAATCCTTTGCATGACAGGACCTATAGACACAGCCCACCCCAGGGAAAAACTATATTTCTTCCCTCTCCCTTAAGTACCACATGCAATTGTACACACCATTACATGTTTTGGGCTTTATGTCAGAGACCATTTGTTGAATGTATGTAACTTTTGTTTTTTGTAGTTCTTTTCTTGAAGGCTGAAGTCCTGATTTCACCAGCGACATTCATGTGTGTTTCCATCACATTCATGATGTGTCCAGATACAGAACAGCAGCCCAGAGTTCATTTCCTACTGTTGATGGTGTTCTTACTGCTTACACCTTATGAGGTGAAGGAAGAGAAGCTAAGAACAGCAGATCATTCAGCCTCTGTCTATGCTGTTGACCTGAATATGCAAAATGATGGGAGGCTTTTTTTAACTCTCTGAACCTGCATTATCTACCTCCATTCAACAGGAACACAACTTAGTTTGAATCAACATGGTTTTCATCATAGCTTTAAAAAGAATGCAGCATAACCAAAATGTGAAAAAATATCTAAGCAAAAAGAAGTATCCTCCAAAAGATTTTGAAACAAATTTAGACTTTGATTTGTGTAATATTGCCTTTTTTAGTGTGAAATAACTTCCCTTGTCAGTTTCCTGCCTAAATAGAGTCCTATTTTTTTATGCTTTGTCCTGATAACCACATAATATTTAGTTTGCATTCAAACGTAAAGAGGGAAAGCTTCCAGTAAATCGTTTTACAGTCTAAAAGGTGCTGAATGGATGATACAGGACAAGAAAACATTTTCTACAAGGGCCCTAAACACCAAACTTTGTTTGAAAAGAAGGTAAATGCACAGGGCACATGCAACAGTTGTTTTGAATTTGCACTGCACTATATACTCCAGAAAGTCTGTTTGTTTATAGCCAGAGCTTAAAGGACTATACACAATTTTATTTGGAAAAAAAGACTACAGGACAGTCATTATTGTTTTAAATGCTCACATTTCCAGCTGTGCATGGCTTGTAATGGGAGGGAGAAGCAGTGAATGGAAACATGGCCATGATTATTATTTGTTCTACAAGCAGAAATCAAACTGGTGCTTTTCTTTTGGCCTCACAGTCGTCTGATATATTTGTGCAGAGACTTGATTACTAGCGGTATCATGCTATCGTCATCCCCTTCCTCTGTCTTCCTGCCTCATCGCTAATTTTTTTTCTTTCCTCTATGCCTTCTATGACGCAACAGCAAAGCCTCTAAGATATAATTACCCGTCAAAGTAACTAAACCCAAAAAAAGCTTTTGACATAATGACACCCAAACGCTGGAACAAGCATAAAGGAAACACAGTTGAGATAAAGCAGATATGCAACAGGTAAATGAGTATGGCAGGGAATCATATGGGCTGTTCTTCAGTGTTTCATAGCTGTGCCAAGACCGGAAACCAAACCCAGCCCCCCTCCCCTTGTAAACAAAATTACACACACATACACAGCGCTTTAGAAAGTCGAGAGCATGTAACTGGAGGCAGCAAAGTGAAAGTAGCCTGTGTCAATGATACAGCGGCTGGTCCACTCGGCTTGATGGGACCGGGCTCAGTGACGACCTGCATGACAAATTCATGAAGAGAGCATTAATCCTGCTTAGACACTGGACCTTGTTCAGTTTCTGCTTTTCCTGTTTGCCTGATATGAAACAGAACAGCCAGTCTTGTGTTCACCTGTGACTTCATCCCTTTTACGTGCCTTCCTTTGTTTACTCTTTGCATCCCTATGTTTTTAGAACTGGTAGAGTTTGTGAGTCACGCCAGAGAGTCGAGACACAACAGGGAAGGAAGCTGAGAGGGCTGCGCAGATGTGAGATAAAATGTAACGGCAACAGACTCATTAGCTGTGACACATGTGCAGAGCCGAGTAAAGGGGATGGTCACGTGATTGCGGCAACAAGGCCTGATTGGATCAAATGCAGGTGGCATGTGTCGTTAGGTCGTGACCCCCAGCAAAGTGCAGCACAGGACACTACGCCACATTCTTTTAGGTCTCACAAGGCATCTGCATCAGTCCCTCTCTATCGGCCCACCCATCCGTCTCCTCCCCTCCTTTTTTTTCCCTCGTTCCCGCTGTCCATTCACCCCTGTGTCACTCCTCCCCTGCCTATGACATTTATTTATAGAAGCCAGCTGTCAGCACACAGTGCAGACCCCTGCAGTCCTCTTGCACATCACCCCCCCCCCCCCCCCCCCCCCCCCCCCCCAAACACAAAACACACAAAAGCTGAAATGCAAGAGAAGCTGAAGCTGGTTACAGCCATCACCATCGGTGACTCTGCACTTTATACTGCTTCTGCTCTTAGCACATCAAAACCCATTAATCACACTTACGTTGTCTCCAGAACACAAAATCTCTGTTTTTCAGAAACTAGGTGCTTCACCTCCATCAAAATCAACCAATAAAATACAGCGGCAACAGTGAGAAAAGTTAGACTTGTGCCGTCTGATGTTAACGTTTTGTGGAAAAGTGGATTTTCCTGCACCCACTGGATGTCAATACAGTTTTTATGGCTTTTTAAGGCCAGCAAGTCCTTGTCTTTATTTAGCTCAGAAAAAAATGTTAAAAATCTACTTTTTTTAGGCCATACATCCTGTCCAAATTTAGCCTAAGCAAAGAGAAAGTCAGGCTTACAGTAGTTACCACACTTGATCAGCTTTGGAGACACAATCATAGCCTCTCTGTGCGTGGTGTTCCAGCTTTATTTTGACTCTGTTATTGTTGCACTAAATTTTTGCCTATGAAGTGAAAGGACTTTGGACCTCATGTGTGACTAATATTCAGAACGTTTGTGGTCAAGAAATGAAGTGTGAGCCTGATGACTGGACCAGCAGAGTTTTATTCCTTGTAACATTTTCTAAATCCTTTACTTTCTGTCACTCTCTGACCAGGTCAGACATCTTCAGGCTTTACAAACAGTTTGGGTGGCAAAGCTAGTCGGTCAGGTTGGTTTTTAATAGTGAAATATCGACATTAAATTTATACTAAAAAAAACAATCTTAATGTTTATAGACATCTTTTCTATGGCTATCTTTGATCGCTCAGTCATTGTCTTTGTTTATCCCGGTGTAATCTGTCTAAATTATCCTAAGATGTCAAAATGCATCCTATTGTGGACATTTCTTCACCTTTCAATTATCAACCACATTTACACAATGTCTAGAAGGAAGGGAATTTTGTATTTATTACTTCGGAGTCCAATGTGCTCCAGCTCCAACTTAATTGGGCTTCTCTTTTTTCTTGAAATGAGAGAGGTCCAGTTGGTTCACTTCTAATCTAAAAAACTTTAATGCAAAAGCACACAGCAACTCAACAAGGCAAAAAGAGGACGACACAAAGAGCTGGGTATGTTTAGTCTAAAGGTAAGCAAATGACCCAACAAAGCCTCACAAAATGTACTTTGAATAATTGATAGATGGGTTGGTTTATGGAAATTGATGATGACATTACAGATGGTCTAGTCTAGGATTTGATGCTTATACAGCCGTTGTTTGTTTGTTTTAACTAAAGGTTTGTCTTTATTGTTCCTATCTATTTAACTCTCTACGTGTTTAAAGCTGGAGTTGGGGTTTGTTAGTTGATAGGAAGATGCAGGTCTGAACGTGGCAAGTTTA